CGTGTGAAGTTGCGCGTGTTGTCGTTTGCGATTTTCAGAATCATCGTTAAGAAAAAAACGTGGGCATCTCGCCGCTTCTGGATCAGACATATAGATGCCATTCGAGGATCTCTCCCCGAACCACTTCCTCTCCAAATGCAACAGCCGCTCGCAGGACACGTCACGCAACTCCGTGATCTGTGTGTGTACATGCGTGCGGAGGGCCCTAAACGGCCTTGCATAGTTTCGGAAAGAGACCGTTTCGAACGAGTCTCCACCTACCGTTTTTTCGCAACGTCCTCTTCGAGAGAGGAGAGCAGCGGGAGTCCCTTCCAAGCGCGGTCGTAAAAGAGTGTATCGAGACGAGAAGCTCCGAGTCTCGACCTCGATCTCGCGGTGGGAGCACTTTCTTTCACGAAGAGGGCCTCAGGGCCGAGGCAAGGGTGGCCCGGGGCCCTCGACAAAACGGAAACGATCGATAAAGCGAGACACAAATTGAAGTACAGTTATGGGTTAAAGAGAAATTCTCGCTGTCGACATTGTCGTCAGGGACGAAATAATTTACCGAGATTCCTCGTTCCGATCTCAAAACCGATTCAATACCGAGCGTAAGAGTCCATTAAAACCCACACAATCGTACTAAAGCTATAATATATTACATGATTCACCATCTCTCTCGTTACTCTCGTGCGTCGTCTTCCCTCTCTTTCCTCTTTCCGTAACACATCCCATAAAATTCAGCCGTTACTTCGATTTGCACATTAAAATGTTAAAGGTTTCGTAACACTTTTATATAGCCAAATAATTTTTATCTCGAGCGAGCGAAATTTGTATATAGCACGAACATGATGATGATGATGAAATACAACGGCGAAAGTATTAGAGCAATAATACGATATGTGTTTCCCATTAGAAGTTATTACTTTCTTTCGCCGCGTGTAACGATTTATAGCAAGAAAAGGCTGCATTAGTATTCTTCGCGGTAAATCGGTAAAAAATCGTAGACACGTGTGAAATGGTTCCATCGACGCGCGTGATTTAACACACAATTACGCAAGAGAGTCCGATATGCGAGAGATCCGCGAAAAATTAATTAAAGATAAACCAAAGAGGCGCGAATAATGAGCACATGTGTTTTTTTTTAATATAACACGTGTGCGATTATGTGGTAACTTTAATACGACGTAAATTAAATGTAAATTTAGTGACGACAAAATCTCGCTTATCTCCCTTCCTGATAAAATGAAAATCTTATAATTTAATTCGATGTACGTTAGATAACCCTCGTAATTTTTTCTTCGTTCATCACGCCAATATAAAAGTTAATGTAATCGTTTATCGGACCTATTAACCCCTCGCGATCTGTCGCGAGACTTTAAGCCGCGCGTAAATAAGTCATTAACGATACTCTTATGATACTCTTATGATACTGATAATTAAATAGATAATTTATTGCGTGATAAAGTTAATCCGTACTTTATACCGTTCGAATTAACTTCGAGACGCAATATCGCCTTATCGATACATCCTTTTGTTGCAAAAGGAGAACCTTCCTCCGAGCTCGCGCGCTTCCATTAAACCCGCGAGTAATCGCATTGAGACACGCGCGTGTCACGAGATACTAATTACCCGCATCCCGCGTTACCTCGCACGCACATTTATCACCTTCGATGATAGATCGCATTCGCACGCTCTCGTACAATAGCGTCAAATCGCGTCCCCCTTTCTCGCGCGCACGATCGGATAATTCGTCTGAAGAAACGAGAGGCTTCTCGCGCGCACGCCAAGATCACTCGTAAAATGCATTTTCTTTTCTTTTTTTAAACGGAGCCTCACTTCTCTTACTTTTATATGGAAGATAGGGCACGTCGGCGATGACGAGGCTCGTCGATCCATTTTCTTACCTTGTTGCTCCACTTTGCAACAACTTTGAATCTCCGATCCGTAATATCTCGTGAAATCGAAAACTCCACGGCATCGCATTCCGGGCGTATCCGATATACAAGAAATAAGATATATAGTATATATATATTTTTTTTCCCCTTTATTAAGCCTTTCTCCTTACCTCGCCCGTATATCTACGATCGACTTTCTATGCGACAGCATAATAAATAATCTCTTAGTGATTT